TTTATTGAAAACAGTCATTGAAACAAGCTTTAATCTACTCTTTCCAGCAATCGACAATGCAAAGCTCTGAAGCAATTTTAACCAACCAGATCACACCTGTAAGTAAGTCAAATGAAAACTATTTTTCACCTTTAACCCGCCTGATACATAGCATATGTGGAACATGCCACCCCAGTTGGTACATCAGAGCTGAAGAATATTTTTCCAGGCCTTTGCTTTTCATTGCCACCATAATATATATTTTTTGCTTGTGAGAAAGGCACTTACCCTGGGGAAATTCTTAGGCAGAAGGAGGAAGGTTTCTCAGATATTTATAGCCAAAATATTTCAAAACATAGGTAGCTATATTTATGCTTGGTTATTATTTTAATAAACACTAAGCATTGCTGCCCACAAAGAAATTTTCAGTATCACTTTAGAAAAGAAATATTCTTCTTCACCTCGAATGTATGGCTTTTCTCTATTAAAAAAGCAGGTAAAAGTTTTAAAAACATTGCAAAATGTTACAGCATGCAAGCTTAATTGAATTTGCCTCTGCAGATCTTTCCCACACTGATTAAAACCCAAAAATCCACTGTTAGCAAGGAAGCTAACGAAGAACCCCGAGGCTGACTTTGGGGGAGATTACGAAGATTACTCCCATCTAAAAGGTTCGTCCTAGCTGAGCCGGGGACCAAGCCACCTTTCTGACACGTTACCGAGGCTACCCCTTCAGGGCGCTCATCCCATGGGTGTCCTCCATTTCAAGGGAGGTAGAAGCTGGATGAGGATGCTCAAGAGAGCACCACAAATATATCATGTCCACCTGAAGTATCACCCAAACTAGCAAATATGTAGTCAGTACCCCCATACCCTGGTGTAAGTGTAATTTCTCAGGCTAACCTTTTATTAGCCAGTTAAATATTTCTTTAAAAGTTTTTTTCCGACTATTTCCTAAAAATGCCTTTGATAACATTATCATTGTTTAATAAGAAGAGTAAGTGATGTACAGGTGCCTACCAAGACAGAGAGGAATAAGAACCTCATCTTCCAGTGACAGAACTTAGACAAGAACTTTATGTTACGATCGTCGAAATCTGAGGATACCCTCTGGTAATAAATAGCTTTCTACAATTTCCTAGCCTTGGCCTGCCAAACACCTGCCTCTTGGATATAACAAGAAACTTGTGGCTCACACAGGGACCTGTCACAGGTGTTTCTGTAACAGGAGGTATCGGGGCAAAAGGAATTCAATATTAAACATTAAACAGAGCTCGCTGGGGGAAAATAGAGTAACTAAAGACCCCCAAAGTCTTTCTACTCAAATTGCAGTTTCTGATTGAGAGCCCAGGCCAGCTTCTCTCTAAATATCCTCAGGCACTCACCTGTAATGGGATAGACTCCGAGATAGTCACAAGTGAATGTGGGGATTTATTTTGCAGGCAAACACTAAATGCCACAGCAAGCTGTGAGAGCTTTATTTTCCCGAACAACAGCAAACAGCTGTCGAAGATCAGGCTCCATTTCCTCAGCCAGCAAGGATCTGCGGGGAAGCTGACTCCACGTCTCCACCTCTGAAGGTGGATCACAGACGTGAAGGGGACGTGGCATTTCATAGAAAGAGCACCGAGCTGGAAGTCAGGAGACTTCAGTTCCAATTTGAATTCTGTCCCCACCCAGTGATTTTCCCTCTGCAAAGCAACTTAAGCAATTGAGCCTCAGTTGGGGAAACAGTGGTATGGGGGTAGAGGAAACAGGTATTGAATGTCTACTGTGCATCAACATTCTGTGAAGACTCTGAGCAACAGCCCTGCAATGAGGGTCCCATGAACTTGATGTTACAGATGAGGAAATGCAGGTTCTGAGATCAGATAACTTGACCAAAGTTACATATTCTCGAAGAGATCATGGAGGCAAGAATTCCTAGTACAGGAGCTGGACCCAGGCACTGGCTTTCCCCATTTTACTACTTTCCATGTGGAACTCCAAGATGTCCAAGAATTCTAACTTTGAGCTAGCTCTCCTGGACACTGTGAAGGTATATTTGTCAAGACAAATAAATTGAAAAAAAGAAATTTAACCATTTGTTAGAATGGTGCATAATTTAAAAATACGTATACATAGGAATTTGGGGCCTGAGTCCCTCAAATGTTAGGGACAGTTCTGATTGTTAAAATGCATTTGTCAGAGAGGAATTATAATTATTAAATGTAGGTACATAACACCCATTTACACCTTCCATTTGCGTAGGTTTTCAATGTCTACAAAGCTCTTTCTCATATGTGATTTCACTTGATCCTCCTAATCACACACTATAACGCTGAAAGGAGTTATCGCCCAGGTTTGTCCATGAGGACATTGGAGTCCATGCCTCTGGGGCCTGGGTCACCTCCCCTTGTTCCACTTCTGATTTTAGCAGCTGCATGTGAGCTCAGACTCGTCTCATGGGGCCAGCATCCCACCTCAAGCACAGGCTGTGCTCTTTACTCCTCCTTCTATCCCAGGACTGGCCTCCTTAATCTACAAACCAGCAGAGCCTAGAAGTGTGGGAAATTGTGCCCCTAGGGGAAACTCTCACTCTACAGAGGAGGACAGAAGCCAGTGAGTAATGGCTCCTGTCTTTTTGACAGGCAAATTTGAGTGGAATTCTGGACACCTCAGAGAGATCTCCAGGAATCAAGCCCCTACAGAAGCCCCTGTGGCCTGTCAAGTGACTTCAGTGATACACAGTTTTATGTCCTCATTTTCTGTCTCCCTCTCCCCACTTTCTCATTCCTGCTACCAAAAAAAATAAGCTACTTGCACCCAAGCCCTTGTATCAGGCTCTCCTTTGGGGACCCCAAACTAGGAGAGGCACTGCGGCTTCAGGAGGGGAAGTGACTTGCACAGGGTCTCCTGCTCCGAGTGCAGGGGGCAGAACTCTCCTCCAGTTCTCCTGGTTCTAAATCCAATGACCTCCTTCATCTCCTTTCAGTTGAGCACACCGGCTGCAATTCTACCTTTGACCAATACGCTGGACTTCAAACAAGTTTAAAAAAATCATGTGTTGGCACAAAATTAATACTAAACGATAAGCATCATGTTTGCTGATGCTACATGGTGACAAGATGGCCACCAGGCACTGAAGACTTGCAGTCTACTAGCTTATCTCCCCCCTGGAAAAGAGTGGCTCTTTCTCGATGGACCCATTAAAATCAGAGATGATCTGCTGGCTACCATGAAAAACCTGGCATTTTTCAAAATTTTCAAGTATTACATTGTGCTTTGCTGGTGTGAGACAAGTAAATTAGAAATGCTCCCTTTCACTCCACATTTTGCAGATGAGAGAGCTGAAGTTTTAGGACTTTCCGGGTTTCATGTCCAACTACTTTTGGAACCAAGGATTAGAATCGTCTACTCCAGGCACACTCTGGGTTTTGCCCACTAAATCTGTTCAACAGCAGGATTGTAGATTATCCTCAATGCAGAGCACTGGTCTGAAGCTTTGCTGTGGGCATCCTTTTTTTAAATTTTTCCAGCCTCTGCTCCTCCCTTTTCTATTAACTGCACCACAGTTTTCCTTTGAGGAACCAACCCTCTTGAAATCTCAATCCATGTACTTCAGGTCTGAATAACTAACCAGTCCATAGTTCCAGAGCTCAGAATATGACAAGAGTCTGACCTATTAGTGTATTCTCTTCCCTCGTGATTGACTCAGAGAATGGAGAGGGATCCAAGCCAGACCAGCTAGAGTGAATATCAAGATTTTAATGGGTCCATCGAGAAAGAGCCACTCTTTTCCAGGGGGGAGATAAGCTAGTAGACTGCAAGTCTTCAGTGCCTGGTGGCCATCTTGTCACCATGTAGGAAGAGCCTGCTTGAAAAGTCAATGAGGCCAATAAAGAGGGAAGCATAGCACAGAGATGGATGGAGACAGACTCTTGATGTGACACAGATCTATTCTTCCCTGAATTTAGATTTGCCACTGGACTCTGCAGTCACAGGAGCCAATATATTACTGCCTCATCTTCTTTCAAGCTCCTGCCACTTGCAATTCAACAAGTCCTGCCTGAAACGAGCTCTGTACTCAAGCATTAAAGGGACTCAGTACTTCTCTGGAAAAACAAGTATCTGTTTTCCACTACCAAGGAACGGGCTAGGAAGTCAAGAAACAGAAGCAGACCTAATCAAATCTTGGCAGAATCCTTTGTCGCAGCTTCAGAGAACCTCAGGAATGAGGTGCTGAACTAGTCTCTTTGTGAATCCATGAAGCAGCGGGCCTCAGACACATCCCAGCCCCTTTAATGTAGAGAACACCAACCTCACATTGTTTTCATCAGCCAGGTTCTTCAGTTCAAAATTCAATTGCAACTCGAGTTCAGAGGAAGGACCTTAGACTGGGAATTCCTTTTGCTCATGGTTTGTGTGTGTGTGTGTGTTTGCTTAAAATTACATAACAGCATTGAGAATCCATGTTTTTACATCTGTAAGCTCTTAGAAGAACTTCTAATCACTCTTAAACCCTCTGATAAGCTGAATAATAAGACCTGGAGAGGTAGACAAGAGAAAAGGCTGAACTCAAACTGAGAAACTTGCCCCAGGGCAGTATGGATGGGAAGAAAACAATGAACTGTACTTGTTTTTAAAGGGTTTCTTTTCTCCTCCCTCGAGAAAAGTCACCATCAAATATTTACTTCAAATATAATGTTTCAAAGCCAGGGAGGCAAGTTTCAAGCTTGAAAAGCAGGCAGGCTTTTTGGCAATGGTGCCTCAGGGGTTTTCACAGCCTAGGACCCTCTCTGACTGTGGAGGGGAAATGCGGAAGAGGTAAGGTGAGTGCAGGCAGGTTTACCAGATGACCCATCACAGAAGAGGTGTGGGGACAGGAGCTGGCCCAAGGACAGAGTATAAATATAGGCCTCCACGCCTTTGTCCTCTCTTACATACACATGCAGTGGAGACAACTCTCCCTCTAGTCTTCTGTCATGCTTGGGATACCTGAGGTCAATACCTTGGCTTTTGAGTGTGACATATGAACTTACCTGATGAATTCTACAGAATAGTACTGAATAGGGGAGCTTCCTTCACTCTCTCCAGGTTTCCAAGACAGGGCCACCTCGGAATCAGAAACCACAGTGACGTACGGCTGCTGGGGTGTTGTTGGAGGCAGGCAGGAATCTAGGCAGGACAGCAAACAACTAGAGTTGGCTGTAGTCTTGGCTGCTGGAGAGGTTTCATATATTAAAAAACACATGTGCTTCTTTGTTCAGAACAGCCTCAAAACCCAAACTAAATAAACACACACAAAAAATCACAACTGGATTCACCATGTAGGGTTTGAGTCATTGAGAGCTGGCCTTCCATTCTTGCTCCAGTATCCCTGGCTGGAAATCCAGGGATATGTCCAGACCATTGACCCTGGGACACACAATGGTGTGTACCCTTTAAAGCTTTGATCACACTCCCACCTCCTAACAACCTTTCATCTCTGCATGTTGGAATTGATACTTGCGCAAGAGGAAAATGAAATGCTTAGCGTTAGTGTGACTTACTATCAATTCTTTTGTGTATGTGTTTTCTCCCCACATCTTCAGAATATATGCCAATAGTAGGACATTTGGGAAATGCGCTCATGTGTAAAGATGTAGGAGTCACTCATGAGCCTAGCACCCCAAGGTAACTGCTGTTACTATTTTCATATTCAGACTTTCACATCTCCCAGCCTCTGTTTATACTATTGCTTCTGCCAGAAACATTTTCCTGCCTTCTCTTCCTAGTGAAATCCTATGCGGTTTTCAAAATTCAGACCAAAGATATGTTTCTTTCTGAAACCCTCCCTGAGCCTCGGGGTAGAGGAAGTGCACAACCCTGGGTCCTGCGGGCCCATTGCACAGACCTCGGATGCAATGGAACTGCTTGCTTGCCATTTGCTTCTCCCTCCACAATAAGCTCCTTGTGAGCAATGATGTGATCGAGCCACCTTTGTCCCCCACTGTCCAGCACAGTTGGACTTTGTCGGATCCACAAAAAATCCACACTTTGTTGGATTCCTTTTGTCCATAAAATCTCTTCTCCCAGTCCCCTTCCTCACCTTCTTAGTTCTCACTTACTCATCACATCTCTACTTGGAAGTCATCTCCTCAGGGAATTCTTACATGATCTCCACAGAGGGTCTTCCTTTGTATGTTCTTACAGCACTGTAGGTAGCACTTAGCACAATCTGTGACTGCACACTACTTAGATAACGTGTTGACCCACCCCACTAAGTTCTGAGAGGGCAGGGGCTATGTCTGTTTCTGTTCACCACTGAATTCCCAGAGCCTAGCATAGTGCCTGGCACACAGTAGGTCATCATTGATATATACTAAATGAAGGAATGAATGAATAGCACCCGTCACTTTCCTGTTATGAATGAGGTGAAGCCATTTTACCTTGGGGCAAAGTGGTAACATGCTGAGGAGAACTGAGCCGCCCTTTGCCAGTCTGGCTGTAAGCTGCTACGCTCACTCGATATTCAGTGCCCGGTTTCAAATCTCCGATCACTTCCTCCTGTCAATGACCAAACAGGAAATGTGTCAATGATCAGAAATTCTTTTGGGGCAAACGAGACAATTTCCATGAGGGTTGCATCGTGAGGTCTCTGTGAAATTGCTTGGGATAGAGATTATTTTGTTTTCTCTAGGACTGGCCAAGTTTTAAAATTTGCAAAGCGTAAAACACCATGACATATTTCCCAAGACTAGAGAATTTCCCTTCATTGGAATCTATACTCTGCCCTAGAAATGGGACTCATTCACCTTATCAGACGTCACTCTTAACATCTGAGTTCTTTGATCAGAGTTACTAGGCTGCTGGGATTGAGGTAACAAGCTTTTCCAGGGTTGGAATCCCTCAGTTCTTTCTTTCCATTTGTACATCACAGATGCTCAGGAACTTGCCATCTGTGACTTGTCTTGACTTGTACCCATAAAGTAGGGACCCAAACTTTGGTTCTCAAATTTTAACCTGCATCCGAATGACTTGTACCCATAAAGTAGGGACCCAAACTTTGGTTCTCAAATTTTAACCTGCATCCGAATCACCAGGAGGGCCTCTTAAAACAAATTGCTGGGCCTGGCCCCCAAGGCTTCTGGTTCAGTAAACCTGGGGAAGGGCCCGAGAATTTGAATTTCTAACAAGTTCCCAAGTGGTGCTACTGTGGTCCAGGGACCCATGTGAGAACCACTAGGAATGATGATGGATGTGTGTGAACTTCACTTGCACAAATGGCCCTGCCCAGAAAGCCCCAGCTGAAGAAGATTCACTCCACCTTGGGCTTTGGCAAAGGCAATGTGTCCCTGAGGCTACAGCACAAAATAGTAAGTGGGAGCTTGGGTCTCACTGGCCATAGCACATTGTAGGGGAAAGGACACTTGCTTTGGAATCAACTAGTCTTGGGCTTGAATCCTGATTCTGCCAATTATTGCTGGCTGTGGCCTTAATATTAAACTCCCTGAGCCTCAGTTTCTTCCTCTGTAAAATGGTGATGATATATAACTATCTTGCATAGTCATAATATTTGGGATAGTGTGTGTAAACTAGCTGGTACCCAGGATGTCCTCAAGAAGCAGGTTGTAATGATTATTGTCCTGTCTCCTCTTCTCTGCTTACCTAGATTCCATCACCTCTCTGAGGCCCAAATCTTCCCCTTAACACCTGACCACAAGACCTGATCTTACCCTACTGACTGTTGTACCACTAATTTAACACTTACATATGTGACAAATTATTACTATTTCTCCTATGGGATGCAAGCCTCTTGAGAGCAGGGATCCTGTCTTGAATTTCTTCACAACCTGTTCCGCAGATGATGAAACATTCATTGTAGCTAAGGAGAATAATCAACTGACTAACAAGACTTGCTTAAAGGAGTCAACAATTACTGAGTGCTTACTACAGTAGTTCTTAACCCTGAATGCCCATTAGAATCACTTGAAGATCTAAAAACATACTGATGCCTGAACTCCACTCCAGACTGCTTAAATCAGACCCTGTGGGGGGCAGGGCCTGGTGTCAGTTTGTTGAAAGCTCTCCAGGTGAGGCTAACGGGCAGCCAGGTTTATGAACCATGGGTCCAGGGCTTGGCTCACCTCCTGTGCTCTGAATTCCACCTGTTCCCTTTCCTCCCTCCTGTATTTCCATCCTCTCTCTCCCTTACTGTATTTACTGTGCTTGAGTTGCTCCTGTCTTGACAACAATCAATTTCCCCATCATACATGTGCCCCACCTCCTCTCCACAAAGGGAAACTTCTTAAAGAAGTTGTCTCCACTTCCTCACCTCCTATTCACTCCTCAACTTACCCTCTGGCCTCTCCTCACTACAAACCTATTGAGATTTTCTTACCAGAGTCATCACAACTTTGTAGTAAATCCAGTGGGAATGTCTCAGTCTTTACTTGACTTTTTGCAGCTTTCAATACTGTTGCTCACTCTTGCTTCTTCAATTTCTTGGTTCCCTTGGAAGCCATGGCTCTGCGCCTTCTTGGTCTCCTTCTACTTCCCTTACTGCTCCTTCCCAATATCCTCTACCCACTCCCTATTTTCTGCTTGCCCCTGATGTGTTGGTCTTTCCAGGGGTTCATCCGTCATCACCTTCTCCTTTCACTCTGTAGTCTTGCCTGGGTAAGTTCATCTACTACTCACTTAGCTTCTAGCACTACCTTCACATGACACCTCCCAAATCTGCATCTCCGGCTCTGACCTGCTTCTTGATGTCCAGATTGGATTTGTGACTATCTCTTGAACATCTCTGCCCAACAACTACCAAGCAATTCAAGTTCAACATAACTAAAGTTCAAGTCATTGCTCCTCCTCCTACTACCACAAACAAAACAAAAATTGCTTCCTTTCTTGTGTTTTCTCTCATTACTCAAACCAGAAATTCTTGACACTTTCCTCTCTGTGTTCATCCCTCCTCCCTAATCACTGTTCAAACACTTACCAATACACTCACCAGTACTCTCTCATATCGCTTGAATCTGTTTCTCTCATTTCATCTGCATGGACATTTAAGTCCATGTCCTCATAATTATGAGACTGATCCTGATTCTCCCTGCCACCAATACTTCCTGCATCTCCAGTCTAGGCTCCACCCTGCTAGAGTTATCTTCCTAAACACCAAATCTGATCATGTCACTTCCCACTTTAAAACTCCCTTACAATAGCATATTTGTGTCTCCCTGTTTATCCTTCCAGCATCATCTCGTGCCACTTCCCTTCCTTACATTCTACATTCCAGTCATACTTAAGAACTTGGCAGGGCTCAAATTTATGCCATTCAATTCTTTGCCTCTGGGCCTTTGAACCTGCTGCTCCTTCTACATGAAATGCCCTTCTCCCTACACTTGCCTGGCTCGCCCCTGCTCATCCTTCATGACTCAGTTCAGCTGAGACATTACCTCATTTCTCTGATCCCCCAGCCCCCAGTCTAGTTAGGCGCCCCTCCTCTATCCTTCCCTGATGTCCTTGGTATACCTCAATCTTAGCACCACTCACCTTCTATTGTAATAGTCTATTTATTTGTCACCTTCTCCCCACCCAATTGAGGGCAGGAAGCAAGTTCTTATTCCTCTGGCATCCCAAAGCTTAGCATAGTACTATCAGACATGTAGCAAATGCTCAGCCAATGCTTTTTGATGAATGAACAAATGAACTAGTGAGTGACTGAAAGAAAGAAATCAAACCAAGATGTCCAATATACACAGATGACCTCATCAAGAACCAGCTTCTACTACTGACCCCTCCATCTTGATTAACAGCATCAGTACCTCTGCATCTGGCCCTGGAGTTAGTAACTCCGGAGACAAACTGACTTCCTCTTACTCACCTCCCTCTAGCCACCTCCACACGCCTTTCAGACCTGCTTCCTTCTTCCATTTCCTTTGAATCCTTACCTGGGTCATTTCTAGAGGCTCCTAGAGGGTGTCTGTCTCCAATGCTTTACTCCCTCTCTCCCCACTACTCCATCCTACATGCAACTGCACAAGGGGTCTTTGCTGAACATATGAATCTGCTTTCATAGCCCCATCCTGCTCAAATTCTCTGCATCTGTGCATCCTAGTGCCACCGTCTGTCCCCCGGATTCATGTCCAGTTGGCTGGTTAAGAGACTGGAGGTAGCAGGTGGATGCAAGACTCCTGTTCTCACTCCTCTCCCAACTGCCACCCCAAGCTTGCCGTATGGGAGCAGAAATACACTTTAAAACCAACTTGATGCTCTCACAGGCTTTTGTTTTAGGATCTTTTTCTCCTGTGACATCATTACGCTGTATAAAGTAGGGGGGTAGCAATGTGGTTTCATAAATAATTATAGATATTAGCTATGAGCCAACACCAAATACAACTACCATTAGTTACCATTTACTGGGTGTTTTCTCTGTTCCAGGAACACGTATAACCTGATTTAATTCTTCCTTCAGTCCTATGAGGGCGGTATCACTCTTATTTTCATTTACAGAGGAGAAAACTGAATCCCTGAAAAGCTAATTATTTGCTCAAGGACATTTTTCTTTTTTTAAAGATTGGCACCTGAACTAACAACTGTTGCCAATTTTCTTTTTTATTTTTCCTGCTTTTTTTCTCCCCAAATCCCCCCAGTACATAGTTGTATATTTTAGTTGTGGGTCCATCTAGTTGTGGCATGTGGGATGCCGCCTCGACACGACCTAGCGAGCGGTGCCATGTCTGCACCCAGGATCCGAAACCTGGGCTGCCGAAGCAGAGTGCGCGAACGTAACCACTCGGCTACGGGGTCGGCCCCTCAAGGACATCTTTTTATTAAGTTGCAAAGTGGAGGTTTCAACCTGCTTCATTTGACTCCAAGGCCCAAGTTTAATTCAATAAAACATGTAAAAAATATTAAATAACCTTTAAATCAAAGAATACTTATAGAACACTGAAGATCAGATTATTTTATCTATAAACATGGAGGTTTATGTATCAGAAATTTAAAAGCCATTACTGAAAATCAAGAGAAACTATACTTGTAGAAGTTCCTTATAAAGATTAAAAAACAATTAAACTCTTTATTGGATATGGAAGAATAGCACTACCTTAAGCCAGGAATATTCTGAGAGGGAGAAGATGAACTTGCCAGAAGCCAACTATTTCCAGCCTTTTCCTGTGTCTTTCCTGTGCTGACAGGCTGGTAACTTGGCATAAGGGAGCAAGGGTCAAGGGGACTGAGTAAATGGGATCATGAAAAGAGGGGCTGGATTCAATGACTAAACCATCACTTCCTCTGGCATCACTCCTCCAAATGGAATCCTTCAGTATATTGTGACTCGTGATAACCCTTGAATTCTTAAGTAGAATACCACACAATTCCACAAGTCTTTGTATCTCTGTCCTTAAGTGTCTTAAAACCACTGCTTCAGCCTTGAGTCAAACTAGATAAGATGCTAAATAGACTCTTCTCCAAGCAGAAGAACAAAGTGTTTTGTTGCCTTGTGGAAATTTGAAAACAAGTCAAAATATTTCTCTCTCTTGGACTTTATTTCTGCACAGGATGAG